TGACCATCTCTTCGACTATACACGCCCCGAATATTTTGAGGGGATTAATAAAACTGGCCCGCCGGGCTAGCAGACCCCCATTCTCCAGCATCGATGAAGACAAAGATCGAGGCTGATGAGCAGGTTTGTCCGGATCCAGGACGTCCGACCTGATTCCGGCCGATGCATGCCATTTTCGGAGAGTGGAAACCTCAAACAGTAAGTATTTCTCACTGTTCATCTTTTAGAGCGTGTTTTTCCTCACTTCTTCCTGAAACCCCCTTCCTTGTGCAGCGGTGACCCAAACTCCACGCTGCCGTCAAGGATCTGCCGGCTGGGTAACAAGATAGTGGCCCAGCGGCCATATCGGAGCGAAACTGGAAAAAAATCTTCAAAGGTCGTGTGGGAGGCGAAAACCATGGTAAGCCTTCTTTTTGCCGGTTAGCGCATTTTTTCCTGTTATCGGGAATGCATCATAACCCTCTGTGTTGCAGGCTTGCACAAGGACGCGGAGAATGAGGTCTTCAATACTATGCCCCTTCCGGTTCGGAGAAAATAAAAGGCCCGGGGAGTCCGGTACCGACGAGCCTCAAAGGAAACTAGGCGGACAAAAAGGGCCGCCCGAAACCAAAAAGCCAAATCGTTGTCCTCCGGGAAGAGGATGACAAAGAGGATCGAGATGAGGAGCAGCCAGAGCTCGTCCGCCACCGGTCCATTCGACGGACCCTGAGCCGGTGGTCCATCAGTTGAGGCTCCTCCCGACGGACGTGAGGGTTGAGGATCTAGTGAACCTCGCCCTGCGCGGGCATCCCCGGTACCGATCACCCGGTTAACGTCCCCCCATCTTCCTCGACTTGGGGCAGCTGCCGGACGACATCCCGATGATGGAGGTAGCTTCGAACCTTTTTTGACGGAGTACCTCCGCAACACTTTCGGGCTCGAAATCCCCCGGAAAACCTTCAGGCCGAATCAAGTGGGACTTCGGCCCGTCAACAAGCTTGTTGATAGGTTTCCAGCTCCGAGCCTGGACCCGCGACTGTAACAGGATAAGTAACTTTTGCTATCCCCAAAGACGTCCGGGCTCTGGGCCCCCGGTCGGGTTGCAAGCTATCTTCAATCATGATAACGGAGGAGACCGGGCTGCGACCGAGCGTGTAGATTGACATGCCTTTCAACGAAGTCCAGCAGGCGCAGCTCAAGGTATTTGCTTCTTCCTTTATTTCTATTATTTTTGCCTTGTGGCCCAGTACTGACTCTTAGACCTTTCTTTGCAGGCATCGGTGCTATAGTACTCGATGTTCTCCGAATCAAGGACAAACTGGAGCGGAGCGAGAGGGGCGCCGGGTTCCCTTGAAGAGAAGCTGCTAGAAAAGCCCGGACCGGATTGGACCTTTTGAATAAAGAAGCACGTCGTCTGTGCTATCCGGCTGGAGGAAGCAAAAGAGGCTTCGTTGTAAGCTAAGGGGGGTGCAAGCCGACTTAATCGGTTAAGGCCGAGCTTGACAGAGCAGACCGAACTTAATGAGAACAAGCCGAACTAAAACCCCGGGTGCAACAGGTGGAGTCGGAGAAGACTTCCCTTCGGGAAGAGGTTGCGGACTTGACGTTGCAATAGCTCGAGTCTTGAAATTGAGGCTATGGACCAATCGATTTCGGAAGCTGAGGCTAAAGTTTCTCAGGCCAGAGGAACTGCCAACATATGGTGGCCAATATAGGGCGATGCTGATGGCGGCCAACCAGCATCAAGAATGTTAGCGATATTCGAAGTGTCAGGCCGCTGTGAAGTTCTTACTGAACTCCAACGTCGCGGTTTCGATCTTAGCAGTCGACGTGCCAAAGCCGCCGAAGCTGAGGACGCTTCGAGAAGGGGCGACGTTCCCCGAAGAATTCGAGGATGGCTCCGATTGACTCCGGGAATAGGCTAGGCTTTGTTTTGTTTTCCCTTTATGTAATTGCTCCGGTAGCGAGCTTTTTTATGCAACACTGCCCTTTGCCATTTTTATTGCTCCTTTTTCAATCTTGTTATTACTTTGCCTTTTATATTTTTGGAACGATGGTCGTCTTTATATTTTTCGAAATAGTCCCCGTGAATGTATTCGAACTCAGGTGAACTTCGACCTTTGGAGTTCCTCAAGCAGTCCGAGTGAAGTTGATTCGAGCTCGGGTGAAGTCTAACCCTTAGTTTTCGAAGCAAGTTCCCGAGTGAGTGGGTTCGGCTCGGCACAATTTGCCTTCAGGTTTGTATCGATTTTTGCCTTTTTCTAAGGTCTTACAAGTTCGAGTATACTTCGCCTTTTAGTGAAGTCGATGATGAAGCCGGTATTACTCTTTTTGAGATTTTATGAATTTGACCCGCCTTTCTCGCAGACTTTGGTCAAAATAATGCCTTATCGAGGCTTACGACTTTCGAACTCACCTCGAGGTCTTTCGTTTTATGTGTCGCCTTATTAAGGTCTTATGAGCTTGACTTGCCTTCTTGAGGTCTTATAGTTTTTAAGTGTTGCCTCATTGAGGTCTTATGAGCCTAAAAGCAGTCTCATGTGATCGAATATGAGATCGAATATGCTCGAGGAGGTCTTATGTTAAATGTCTCGAGGAGGTCTTATGTTCGAATGTGCCTCGAGGAGGTTATGTTCGAATGTGCCCGAGGAGGTCTTATGTTCGAATGTCCTCGAGGAGTCTTATTTGAATGTGCCTCGAGGAGGTCTTATTGATCGGTCTTGGAAAATACCGAAGAGTCGAACAAAATCTTTAGGTTATGATGTAATATCATCAGATAGTCTTTGCTATTGCAGTAATAGTTAATACATAATACTGATCAGCGGATTAGGTCAGGTTAAGTTGGGCACGGCCGCTTTGGCCGTTTGACCCTTACATTTATTCTTATTTGACCTTCGCACTTCTTCGAGGGATCCTAGTATAACAATGATTTACCCTGGATACCTTTATAGTAGCACCGATGTCTTTCGCTGCATCGTATAAAACCTTGCCTCGAAAAAACCCGAGTTGGTACAAAACGTCGAAAGGAAAAAAAGAGTGCAGCTCGTGCTTTCAGTCTCTCCGATGTCCGAACTTATGTTAGCGACGATCCATCGACCTGCACGGGTTAGGACGGACAAGTCTCCAAAAATTATGAAGCGAAAGAAAGAAGACTTACTTACGATCATATCTCTTCAAGTGGCCTATCAGTATTGTAGCTCTTCCCATCCATCGTTCTAACTTGGACGAACCTCTTCCGGTTACTTCAAATGGTGTAACGGCCTTCCCAATTCGGTCACTAATTCCCTTCGTTAGGGTCATCGAGTGTTGAGGGGACCTTTTAGCCAGTCCCTATATTGAATATCGAAGCCGAGCCTTCGTAATATGATCTCTTCGATACTTTTTTCAGAGCTGCCATCCTAACTAGTGCGGTCTCTTCTCCTTTCGTCTAAAAAGATCCAACTGTGAGCCTTGCCTCTTGGTTGGATACCTCCGGTTGCGATACCGAATCTAGCGCTGTGGATGATCGCCCACCTCTGAACGGATCAAAGGCTCGGCTCCGTAAACCAAAGAGAAAAGGATGGCAGCCGTACTCAGTCCTT